AAAAAAAAAAACGAGAATCGAAGAGAAACGATCTAGAAGAGAGCAAAGAGAAAAAGATACAGATGCAATTTTAAATATTTATCTTTAATGTCCCGTATAAATGGACAATAAAGTCGCAACATTTGCATTTGCAAAAATTAATCACTGCGATTCGCTACAAAATTCACGTTTATACACAAATATCAAATCCTGCAAATTAAGATTTTTTGAAATATATACCGCACTCTGCCAGAATTATTATCCTCCATTTATTTTGAAAATCCTGCAATTGGCGAAATACAAAATGGTACCTACGCTGTAGGACGTTGAAAATTTTCTAAATGCTTCAACTATCAAAAGACTTTAGACTATTGAAACATAACTTTCGTCGTAGCGAAATCACGCGCAACGTGATAATCGTCTAAAATGTCTAATCCTTCAAATATCAAAAATTGCCTACATAAGTAACTATCAGAATCCTTGTGTTTTGCCATTATATTTTATCATAGTCAACTATCAGAAAGCTCGTGTTTTACCTATTACAGCTATTAAACATAGGTTTGACAAATTCTTCAAACCTTGATATCGCGAATCAAAGCGTCGGAGATCTATGGTAGCGAAATCATTATCGAGATAGTTCTAAAGCAGAGGAAGATAGGCGACAAGCGATTCGCAGTCGGTTGATTTATGGTCGCGGGACTAGGATATTCCTGTAAAAGCTCGGTGTATCTCCTGTTCCGCTGCTTTCGTGTGCATAATCTTATCAGGCTCGTTTACGACTGTCGCATAGGCGTAAACAGCAGCTAAATAATTCACCCGAGGACAGTATAAATACCGATAAATTTCCGTTCTATCTTTGGCAAGCTGTCTTATCGTGTGTTCTATCGAATTTTGATTGTACCTGTGGCTCACGAACGTCCGCGTAAGTAGGTGTTTCCTTTCCACAGAAAACATTATTTGAACGAGCTCGTGTTTGCGCTCTCCAGTACCTCAACATTTTTTCAGCTTATCGTACTTTGTTTTCGTCGGATTCTTTGTAATTTCTACGTGTTATCGGTTGGAATAGGCCTGCTAATTATCAGCCGCGTCTTTCAATTTGTCACGTAAAAATCGATATCTAGATTGGCATTAAAAATGTTGCAAATCATCGTTGAAATAGCTGATATTTTGATTTTCAGCTGGACGATTATTTCTCTCCTTATCTTTGGTGTATGATTCGTTCGAGTCGTTCGTGTGAAATGAAATGTAAAATAATTTTATATTAAAAAGTATTGGGTTATTTGGGAAATTCGCAACGAAGATTAAGAAAGATTTAACCGGAATTATTAATTGTAATTACAATCCTTTATCAATTATAATTTCACGAGTTCTTTTACTTGAAAAATTTCTTGTCCTTCAGAAATTGTCTTTCGAATAAGTTTGTATTCAATAAAAATGAGCTATATATCCAGTGAAGAGCAAGGAAGATATTTCAACTATGATTCAAAATTTCTTGGATAATACGCTTGTATCTGTAAAGATTAGATTGGATTATTCTACCAGCTAGCAATTGACGAATTTTACTGACTATTTCAATTCATATTTCATGAAAATATCGAATGAAAGTCCTACGAACTTCTCGAACAAACCAGTAGTTGGGAAAGTTTTGAGCATCGAATTTTCCAATTTTAATTCATCGTCATGATAAATGGAGGAGTAATAGGGGTAGCTAATTTTGCAAAGACAAGAACGCGGATAATCACGATTGGCGCAGAAGCACGTGCAAGATTAATGATGTCTGTTGAACCGGAATTACGTGTCACTTTTTATTAATCTCGTTATGTATAGTTTGCGTTTCAAAGGCAGTAGGTCGTCGGCCAACAACGTACGTCACATTTCAGTTGTCCGTCAATCTTAATTGAATTCACCACCCAGGCGAAAAACTTCTCGACATCGATGCCTCGAGTGGACCGCGTCACGGTTTCAACAGCGACGGCCATTCGAGATGCACGAAATTGTGTAAAGTGTCGTCAATGGGCGTCAATTGGGTCGTGTCGCGACACTTAAACGTTACAAATTGTCCTTCCAAGAACTCGGGGTGACTAACGTGGAGAAGTTGAGGAGCAATGGAGAAGTTTGTGCAAAGGGAAATATGCGTTTTCCTATTTTGTATTTTCTTTTCTTTTTCTTTTTAGAAAAACTTACTGTGCTGAATACTCTCAACATGTTGGATTATATAGTGACTATATAACAAATATTGCACAAACTCTTAATTTTTAACGAAGTCTAGTCCTTTTTCTCAAGTTCTCAAGTTTTCCTCAATTTTCACAAGTATAAAAAGTAGTTTTACGTGATATGAAATTTAATATATCTAGTTGGAATTAATTATTACAGTATGTAGATACATGCTATAATAAATATCAAGATAGATTTCTACAACCAATGACATATCCATTTTTAAGATTTTCTAAATTATATGTACAAACTTGTCTAAAGTGTATAGTTGACACAGGATAATTATTTTCATTGGTCTTTACAAATTGGAATTCGAATTCTAAATGAAACAAATCTGGGTTTCCACTAGAATCGATAAGATCGGCAAAACAGTGTGTCTAGATCAAATATTTCAAGTATCAAAAAGACGCTTAAACCCACTTTTCCTCCACATTAATCAACAATAGCCTACAACAAAGCCACGTATACGACGATCCCTCGCTTCATAGAAAGATATCTCGATCGACCATTAATTTCTCGGATGAAAGTCGAGAGAGTGGACAGACACGATTCTTCTATTAGCCCATTGAGAATTAAAACTCATCAAAGTCATCGTCCGATAAACGGAAGCTGAATAACAGGAGCTTGCCATCGAATCATCCTCGTGGAGCACTAACTTCTCTCCGTGAATCATGAAAATAGCCAGATACGTACCAGCCGGTTTGGGAACGTTCCTCTTCACTTGCATCCACTTGTAAGTGGGTACGTGCGGCTGTTGTTGCTGTTGTTGTTGCGGCGGATGATGGCCGTGGGGATGCTGCTGCTGCTGATGATGTCCGTGACCGTGTTGGTGCGGATGTTGATGATGTCCCGACTGTTGGAGTACGTGGTAACACGACGGATCCGGATTTTCCTCCTTGTAGTGACTAGCGGAATGTCCAGCGTAGTCGTTCTGTCGGATTTGAGAGTGATAGTGAAGCGTGTCCTCGGCGGTAGGCAGCTGATGAAGATAGTTGGTGGTACCAGCGACTGGAAGCTGATAGTCGGGCTCGTGATGATGATGATGGTGGTGATGGTGATGACTAGAAGACTGATGGTGCAACTGTTGCTCGTGCTCGGTCCTCGAGTGGCCAGCCGTCATCATGGAACCTTGATGAAGACTGTTCCCCGAGGTTGAAGCGGAATGATGATGATGATGGTGATGGTGGTCGTCTCTGTAAGGTGTTTGTTGGACGTGGTAACTCTGGTGAGGATCCACCGATCCGTGAGACCCGTTCGAGTGTTGATGCTGTTGGTTGGTATACGGCGACGAGGAGGAGGACGCGTAGTCCAAATTAGTGTAACTCAGACCGTTCTCCGAGGAGATGATCGCGGTTGTGGAGCCATCCTCGTGCAGAACTGCCGCCGACGGCGAGTAGAAGCTCTGCGGAGGCGTACCGGAAGATGTGGCGGACTCTGCCGCCAGGAAACTCTCCGAGGAAGAAGACGAATAAGGAGAGACGGCGGTCTGAGGGAAGTAGTGTGCCGGAGCGACTTCCGGCGAGGCCGGGACAGGCACGTGTCCTCCGACGGACACGGGCTGATGATGATGATGATTCCCTTGACCTGTGCACACATAGTTGGGATATGAGTCAGGCTTGCCGTAAGTTCCGTACATGCCCATGTCCATCATCATCATCCTTGTGGTGCGGAGGCGAATACATCAATTGGCCACCTGCTGCCGGCCCACCAGCGTGTCCTCCGGTTCGTGCACTCTTTTACGGAGGAAGGGACAGAGAGAGAGAGAGAGAGAGAGAGAGAGAAAGAGAGAGATAGAAAGAGACAGCGATTTGCGAAGAGGATCGTCCGAGGAATTAGCTTACATCGCGATCGATGGCTACCGCGTTACGACAGGCTTTTACACATTTCTATAGTCACGAGGTGCTCGATGATTATGTTTACTAACAGAAAGCTTCCAGCTTAGGAGTTTTTGGTTGAACGAGGAGGTTGTAAGCAACAACACGGATATCACAGGTTGACACACTTCTCTACCAAAGGTTCAAGTGTTCCACAACGTTCCTCTTGACGCGAGGCTTCGAGACGTTGAACAACTCCATCCGTAAATTCCTCCCTAACGAACATTAACAAATCGATGGAGATATCCTCTAGAATGTCGCGGACACGCGAGAGATCCCGAGGCAGACCCGCGGCATGCCAGTGGATGCGGGAACGCGTAGCCCGTGTTACGCGTACGTAGTAACCGGAGAAAAAGCGGACGCGTAGACCGTCGATCCGGTCGACCAGGGCCGCTGAAGTGGACTGACTAGGTGGACTGGTCTGGCGGAAGGCGGCACGGTCGAAGGCTGCACGCAGGTGAGATTGCGAGCCACAGGGGTCTGGTGTGTCCAGCTCTCGCCTCTCTCTTTCGCCCTGCGGGTTCGTTCTCTTCGTCGTTCCACCTTGGTTCGCCGGCAAAACGAGGTATACGTCAGGGTGCTGCCTTCTCGAAACTGGGCGTGTTCTCAACGTTGATCACGTGAATGTCGTTGGGCGGAGCCAGCCAATCCTGATCGAGCCTGCGCGTCCAGCGTTCGTAGCCTCATGATGGATCACCGAGCTAAATTTTATTTTTCCTACGTTCTTTTTATCTGGCACGCTGCAGTTGACACTTATCGCGGCGAGTAGAGGTAGTCGAGTATTATATCTCGGTGCCCACCTTCCAGGATAGCCCGTGTACCCTTCGAAGCGCCGACCCAGCATCGCTCCTTTTCTCTTTTCTTTTTTTCCCTCCTTCTGCCAGCTCCTTTCGTTTCTCTTTTCGTCCCCTCTACTTCTCTTTTTTTTCACGCTTTTTTCTTTTTTTCTTTCTCCTTTGCCGCGACCAGTCGCTCTTCTGCGTGTACACACGCGTGTCCCACCTGTCCTCCGACAGGACACAGCAACGTCTTCTGCACTTTCATTAACGCCTGACGGCTGATGGGTTAATTACGGGCCGCTAGATCTACGCTGTGAAAGTTACTCGCCCGGAGAACCGTCCGAACCGGGTTCCGGCGAGCGAGCTCCGATTTCTAAGTGGAATTGGAAACCTTCGGATTCGGATACTCCGTTTTCGGACGTACTGATTTGATTTGGACTCCCCGCTCTTGGTAGGGACTCGAGGGACTCTAAGACTCCTAGTTACTTTGTCACTTAGAGAGTTTTTCTACCAAAGCAGAGATACTATTCAAATATTTTACTCTGAGAGTGATTTCAATTTGTTGTAGTATACTAACATTTTCACACTGAATGGGCACTGAATTTGTAATGGTCTCGTGTAATGAAACTACTGGACAGCAGCTATTGATCCGCTTCGCAAAATTTATAGATTCTCACGCCGCAGTGATTTTTTCTTCTTCGTATTAAATTGCAGTTCAATCTTTAACTCGCTTGTGCTAATTTTCATTAATTTTTAATTGTAATTTAAACGTTCCTATCACACATTCGCCATGAGTCATCAAGCATCTACTGATGGATCCTCCAATTTTATAAATTTCTTACAATAGAATTCGTATCAATCACCAATCCTCCGGTGGCATGTTTCAGTTCGCTCGGTAGACAACTGCGTATGCCATTGGATGGCAGCCACGAATAAATATAATTGCTGTCACTGAAATTTCGTCGAAGTTACGTAATAACGGTGGTACGAAGCGGCGTTTGTCTCGAACAAGGAGGTAAACCCGGAGGAACCGAGAGAGAAAGAGGGAGAAAGGTATAGGGACGCGCGTGACGGGCCCATGGGACGTCTGGTACCCCATGTGGGTTCAGTGACAGGATGACACATTCCGCCGTGAAAGTTTTAGGAGAGCGGCCCTGTATCAGCGGTTCAGTCAGAAGAGCTTATATCGAGGGCGCCACCTGCGGCCACCCGCGACATCCGTTCTGTCCCGTGCATCAGGATCAGGAAATCTTCATCTTGATCGAACTTCTCCTCCCCCTCCGACGTCTCATAGTTCTGATTCTCATTGTCGGCTGATCTTTTTCACCTGAACGCCCCCGTACACCGGTCCTCTCCCTCCTCTCATACGTCGATATTCGTTAATTCGAGTTGGATGAGAATGTTGCTTATTGCGAACAGTACGACGGGTCTTTCTAGGTTAGGTTCGTGTCGTACTTTTTTTTATTTCATCTTCAGGGTAGATAGTGTCATTGTTCAATTGAGGTTAGGTAATTTTTTTTGGAAATTAAAAGTAAATGAGTGCTTTGTTGAGTAAGAAAATAATAGAATACTACATGGAATATAAGTAAAAATACTGTTAAAAATAGTAAAAATATATTGTGGGTAAATTTATGCAATGATTTCTGCTTTATCATCCTAAAATAATTTTATTGGCGAAGGAAAATCTTTTGTACAAAAAGATAAATAAAATTTCGAAAACTTCTCGGAGCCCATTTAATTCTAGAGCTCCAAACTTATTTTCTAATTAATTTGCGATCTAAAGAATTGGACTAGCCTCGCTTTAAAAAAAAAATCTACGCTCGAAGGGCCAAAATTTCGTGAAGAAGGGAGGTCCAGAAATTCTTCAGATCTCTCGTCAAAGTGACAAACTGCGAGCTTTCGTCTGAAGAAAGTCTCTGGTGGCTGACGAGGCGTGTAATTCGTGGTTCAAACGATACCAGCTACTTTTAATGGAATTTCCCAGGATTAGATTGGTAAATTTCAGTTTAGCCGAGTCTAATGTTGGGATAAATATCAGCGGCCGAGTTTCTTTCTGCCCCCTTCTGCCAGGTTGGACACGCGTAACTTTACTCCGGCTAATCCTCTTAAACAATTACAAACCAGTCGATCGGTCTGGTACCTATCTCGTCGTGGCGCCACGCTGCGTTTTGACGTGGGATGAGGCACCTGCATTGTCATGCTAAGCCGCAGTCGCATGCCTTGCTGCAGTTCCCTTTTATCTGCCACCAACAACATCTCGTCCACTTCTACTGCCTTCGCCTTCGTTCCCACCATCGCATCGTGAACTTGCTTCAAACTATCGGAAGACGTGTCAAACTTGGCATTTGTCTTGGTTTTTGGTCTGTGAGGTTTGCCTGTGAAACTTGCATAGAGTTTAGATGGAAAGAAGATGATTTTCGCAACAAGGCTTTCTTTTCTAATAATAACAATTTGTTATTCAATGTACGATATATTTTACAATTTTTATGGAAGATAGGTTTCGAACGTTCGTTTGGAATTTATTCGAGTCGATGGATTAGAAACGATCGATTCTTCTTCATGTTTAAACAGTTACTCAGGTATGTCGAAAGGACCGATGATCTTAAATTTTTACTGTTTAACGTGCACATTGGTTCTGACACTTTTATACAGTGTTAAATATATATATTTTTGAATAAATTACTATTACAGAATGTCCTCGGCGAATTTTATAGGGAATTATTTTGGATTTATTTAGATCTGTTTTCAGTCTCTATCGCAGAAATATCCACTTGAAATTAAAATAATCTGATTCAAGATACGGATCCTCTTTGTTGCATTTTCAAATATTAATGAATCTTTTAATATTCAGTACACGAGTACACAACAACGATATTTAACTCTCGTAGCGAATTAGATGCGTCTACTATCCAAACATTCGATTCCCACCGAGAGTCTTCGAATCTCTCATTGTGGTTGCAACAAGACGTTTTATCTCGAACGTGACACCTTCAGAGTCGATCCTCTTGTCAGTCAAACATCCAGTCACAACAATTCAGCGGGTGGTTGCCGATGGACAGACAGCTGTCTATTCAGACAGGAAGAACCGCAGACATTCTACGAGAAGTTTGTCTTCATAAAGGCAAGATAGCGGGCTATTATTCGGTCGATCGTCGCTATTCTGACAAAGATGAAGGCAAAAGTCGCAGGAAGCTGCGTGAAATAAAAAGAAGGAAAACCTTGGTTCTCGATGGGCAGAATTTTGACGAGAAGGTGGCTCCCTCGAGAAACAGAGATCTCGCGTTTCTTTCTGCCCTGCCTGGATTCTCGGACGAGAAAGTTCTCAGCGAAACTTTCGTTGAATATTTTTTAATCGACGACATTTATTTTCTTTTAATCGTTCTGAAAAATTTGCTCACCAATAACTATCGCATCAGTCAACGTATTAAATTTATCTAAATTTAACTTTGTGTTCTACGGGGGGTTGATTGATGATTGACCAGTGATTGAATGAACCGAACTAGTTGAGTCACTTCTGTGATTTTTCAGTGAATTACTATAGATTTGAATCGTGATGTTGGAGAGTGTTGGTTTCGAAGTGTTGGGAAAAGTGAATTTCAATTTTACCTATATGTTTGTGAGTCTGAGGTTTTTGCAACTTTACATCAAAAAATCTTTCCAAAGGTAAATGTTATAAGATAGAAGATCTTGAAGATCTTGCAGTTATTTTCATTGAGATAAATTAAAGTTTCTATATAGATAATATAGGTGTCACGTTTAAAAATTGAAATTGAAAAGCTGTATGTTGCACTTGAAGAATAGCGATACAATTATAACAGAAAGTTATCCCTGTCCAGAGTAGTTTATAAAAAAATCATTTAACAAAAATTACACTTTATAAAATCCAAATGCTCGGCGAAATATATCTTTTCTATTCAATTCTTATTGTTAGTATATTCCAGAACTATTTTCTCACCATCAACTCGCAGACTCTAACCACCTGTCTCAAGTCATCG